TACGGTTAGCGTCATACGATGCGAAAGAAGTTCAAAATACATACTAAACTATTAAACTAAACTTTTTTTTATTTTATTTTACCAGGTAAGGCCCCACTAAGCTATGTGGCTCTTTTTCAGAAGCGACCTGGCCACAAATGATAGCCCAACCCAGTGGCTTATGATCACGTGGACATTTATAGTAGCCAAATACTCTAAACACATGTTTCTAAACGTGGAGGGATAAACTGGAGGACCCGTACAAAAATGCACGCGACCACGGGGAGAGAGAGAGAGACGCAAGACTCCAAATCTACAGGCGTCAGAGTCGGGATCACACCCACGACCTCCTGCATACCAGGCGAGGTAGCCAACATCTCGCCATCGTGGCTCCTGTGTGCCTCTATATGGGGAGCGGTGGTGCAACGGTGGTGTGATGTTATCTTCCTTGCCTGGTATGCAGGAGGTCAGGGGTTCGATCCCGACCATGGCGATGGCTGCTGTATATTCGGGGTCTGGGTCCTCCAGTTTTTCACTCCCCATTTAGCAATATGCATTTAGATTATTTTGCAGCTATACATTTCCACGTGATAAGCCACTTCGTTGAGTTATAATTTGTGGCCAGGTCGCTTCTGAAAAAGAAGCTAATAGCTCAGTGGGCTTTACCTGGTAAGATATAGCATTTGGATATGTTAAATTGATTTGTTTACCTTTCCTATACTTTGCACTGCTGTCGAATTGTTTGTATTTTGTGCTGTTACACGGTTCTGACCCCTTGTTCCTACTGGACATCTGTGATAAAGAGCTTTATAGCTCATCGGATTCCTCCTCCAGTATAAATTGTTTCGAATTCTGATTCTGAATGGTTAGCACACTGCGTTTTGTAAAGGCCGACCTGATTTCGATTCCCGTTCACAGTCGCCACTACCACCACCGGTGACAATTATCTGAACCGTTCCTGGGCCTTCCCTCGGTCGACTTAGTTTCAAATGAGTACCTGGTGCTGTGCTGGCCACCCACCCCCGCATAAGCCATCATTACGCTAACCCCAATCATGCTATCAGAGGCATTTGGCTGGCTATCGAACAAAGACGGTCACCGCATCATGCGCTTTCAAATGTGCTTCTGCGGCTGTCTGGAATACTCTTCCAATATTAGGACGCCACTGAAGGTATGCACTGTGTGTGAGTCTATGGGTCTTCATGTGGTGAGTCTTTGGGTATCTGTGTGGTGAGTGGATCTCTGGTGAGTCTACGGGTCTCTGTGTGGTGAGTCTATGGGTCCATGTTTAAATATATGGGTCTCTGTGTAGTGAGTCTATGGGTCTCCTCTACCCTTTCCTAACCCATAAGTACCCTTTATCGTATCTCACAATACCTTGCTGATCTCGTCAAAGAGCATACGTCATCATCACGCAATCTCTCCTCTCATCTTGGCATCAGCAGCGGCTTTTGGCTCGCCATCGAACAAAGCCAGTCACTGCATCGCGCACTTTCATATGCGCTTCTGCGGCCATGTGGAACGCTCTTCCTTCTGATATTCGGAAGCCACTGAAGTTATGCACTTTTTTTTTTAACTGCTTGTAGTTTGTTATCCTTCCCCCACACACCTTCGATTAGTGTGCTTAGCTATGCACGGTGGTGCGAAAGACGTTCAACATACACACACATACAAACACACACAAAGACAAAGATCCCCCGTATTGTTTTAACAGACTGATGGGACAAGTGCTGTTAGCGAGCACCTACGAAGGCCAGCACCTACGAAGGCCGGCACGGTTCGCGAGGGGGTGGGTGACCAGTGGTTGGGTGGAGAGCCGTGCTTGCTCCGCTGCTGCCCTGAGGGAGAGCCGTGCTCTGTCCACTGCTGCCCTGAGGGAGAGCCGTGCTCTGTCCATTACATTAGTACTCGAGTTTTTTTGGTGCTTAAATCCACTGCTGGATGAAGGCCCACCGCACGCTGTGCGAGTGAATCGTAAGGATTTACTTGACCAGTCTGTTGGGGGCCGCTGCAGGCTGTGGTTGTTGGGGGCGCCCCAAGCTGTGGTTGTTTGGGGCTGGGTGGGGGGTGGGAGGGGTAGGGCTGGGTGGGGAGGGGCTGGTCACCCCGTGGTGCCCTTATAAAACTCAACGTTTAACCTACTCACGCCGGCTTGTGCCCGCCCTCACAGTCGGCCATATTTGCGGAATACACCACGCCGCCGCTGACCTGGCCATTGACCAAGCAATCCAACGTTCCTACCAGCTCCCTCCGCAGGAATGTGTTAGCATGGAAAGCAAGGTTAGGATTTCCAATTTTGTGATTAATTGGACATTGAATTGTTACAGTACAATAATCACCCTATTTCTGTTGAATGTTTATGTAATGTGATTGTGCAATGATCAGTTGAATAAAATCTGCATGAGCCATATTACATAATATAGAGCTTATTATTTAACAATTATTTATATCTGCAATATTTTCGAATTTTGATGAGAGTTTTTGCTCTTCTTTCAATTTAGTCTATAGCTGCAATTTATTTTATTTGCTTTTGCTGTTGTCATTTGGTGACTCATGTCACACTTGTAAATGAACAAATAAATGTGAAATTTGATATGTCTCTGTCTTTGTGTATACATACTTATATGTATAAATATTCCATTGTACGTATGTGCCACATTGAATAAACCTTAAATACAACCAATATTTTCAAGCCACGTGTGCAAATTTGGTACCAATCGAAATCCTATCATCAAAACAAAAGAAAGACATGCTTATGTGGAAGACAACACTTGACACTCTGTAATGCTAACGTGCTTATGTGCATTGCAAAATCAAATGTTTTGCTGCCTTTTTTCCAGACCACAGCATGAGGTGCAAATACAAATTTGAATAAGAGAAGAGAGTAAGAGGATGAAGTGAGTCAATATGAGAAATTAGCCAATGCATGAAGGAGGAATTTGTAGAGAGAATGATTAAAAAATGCGTGAGAAAATGAGGGAGTAAATTTAACCACCAACTCCTTCCTCTCCCAGCGTCTGCACGGAACTGAAACATTGCGCTTTAATGCAGTACGCTTTAGGAAAATATTCCTTCGTCTCACGTCCCTCACCGATCTTGCTTGTCTCACGATCTGACGTCTCACGTCACTCACTGCTCATCATTATGACATGTTCTGTCATCTCAGAAAGGTGGTGACTAAAAACTAACATTGGCCCACAAGAGGAATTATTTTGGCTGTCCTGGCTGCATGGCCGTGTACAAGTAATTTTTTTGTCATTTGTCACAATGTTATCATCAATCGTGCTCATGGCGTTACGAGACAAATAATTATTTCGGAAATTTCACAGAGTAGTGTGATCCCTTGTGTTATAGAACAGGCCTTGGAAGTGGATGTTATAGAGCTACCTCAAGTGATACTCTGGTCCTGACGCAAAGGCCAATAGACTGATTCTGACGCAAAGGCCAATAGATCTTGTTCTGATCTCAATGCACGTGAGCCAAATGGACTTATCCAGACTGTGAAGCATGGCTCCTCAACATAGTCGACACTCAGCTTGATCTTTTGAACGTGATACGTTTAATGAGGTTGGCCTTCACCACAATGGAGTGGTGATGGATCCATCACACGGTAAAACTGTAACATCGAAACATAGAAGTCATTAGCTAACTGAACGGTTAACTCCCTCCTTAAATTCACAGCAACAGCGCTTCTACAGCATTCAGTAACACATGCCTAAGCAGACCCGAGCCATACTGCACCCGGGTGGCGCATATGCAGTACAGACTTAACTGAACGATTACTGACCAAGTGAAAAAGCAAAAACACACTTCATCATCTTTGCTTCATGGAGTGTTGGATCTATCATCAATAATAATTTGATGGGCCGTGGGGGGGGGGGGCTAAGTTAAGCTGCCTTTTGTTATGCTGCAGGGGGTTATGGGACGGAGAGAGCGCTGTGTGCAGGCGATGGCAAGTGGTTGGAAAAAAGTGAGACACATAAACAGGAGGCAGTATTTAAGCTGACAAATGGTTGCGACTATCATTTTTGTGTGATGATGATGTTCCTCAGTTTTAGGGGTTTGCTCTGCCTGTCCACCCGGTTGCAGTTGCTGTATGTCAGCTGGGAAGGCTGTTTTTTAACGGGGGCGGGGTGGGGGGTGATATCGTGTAATAGCGCTGGCTGGTGACCAGCAGCGGCAACTGCAGTGGACAAACACTACACACGCAGGTGAGCACATACACGGGTGTGTCGGCAGGTGGTGGAACTGGGGCAAGGGTCACGGAAGACCTCAATGTAGCATAAAAGTAGATGAGAGTGGGAGCTCAACGACGTCGTTTCTCCGGACCTCAGCCGTCATCCCCTCGCCCATCCTTGTCCCTGCTGCAACCTGAAGCGAGCCGCGGCACCATACACACTCCCGTGCCTTCACCTCATGCATCTCGTTGTGCCAGCTCGCGCGTTCGTCGTGCATCGGGTGTAGGGGGCCAGAATGCGCTCAATCCGCCTGGCGGCTCTGACCAGTTCAGTGGTCGGAGCTGGCTCATATGGTTGTTGCCGCGACCGCGGGATCCTCGGCTGTTATCGGTTCTATCGAGGGGGTTGTTTTCCAGATGCTGGCCGATATGGGTGTGTCGGCGACCATAATTTCGGAACTAATTTATAACATCCTACCCGAGAAATGCCGCCCCCTATGCCCCATTGAGGTGCCATGCTTCGCCGCCAACGGGGGTTCATTGGGCATCGTTGGCCAAATTACTGCCCAAATTTGTATTGGGGATATTAAATTAACGCGTCCGATTCTGGTTTCCTCATCCCTTGCCGTTCTGTGCTAACTGGGAACCGATTTCTTGGGTAAGATGCCAATAAAAATTTTGATCGACCAGGCATGCATTGAATTTCCGTCCGGCTGTCGGTTGGCATTCTTGCCCTCCCTCAGTCGGTCACGTACGGCCTATGCCACCGTGCAAGCTCTGACGTTCTGGATGGTGCGCATTTCCCCTTGAGCGCAAATGGTTGTTCCCCTTTGCTTGCGCAAACCACTCGATTCGGTTGCAACGGCGTGGGGATCCTCTTTGGGTCCGTCGAACACGGCTGTGCGTGGGTTGGAGCTGCTCAGGGCACAAACCATTGTGTCCAATGACAGGGAGCCCTTCATCCAGGTCTTGAATGCCAGCTTGCGGACTTCCATCATACCACGGTACCGTGCTCGCTCACGCGACACCGGCATTCCAAGGTGATTCAGTTGTGGAGCAGCCGCACTTGGATCTGGATGAATGGTGGTTGAATTAACTTTTCTAAGAGGCTGGCAACCTGTCAGAATCCCAGAGGGAAAAGTTGCGGGCGCTCTTGTGGGAATTTACTGACTTTTTAGCAAGGGTAAATTTGACATTGGCCGCTGTAACTCATTAAGCCATCATATTGACACGGCTGACGCTGCTCCCATCTGGCAGAACCCCTATCGGAAAAAGAGCATCTCCGATTGGCTGTGAATGACATTTTGGCTGCGGACATCATTTTGCCATCCACCAGCCCATGGGGGGCCCCGATCGTCCTCATTAAAAAACATGATGGCAGCTTGCAATTTTGTATAGATTTTCGCAAACTGAATACAATTTCGGTTGCCGACACTTATCCCCTTCCTCAGATGGACGAATCCCTGGACGCCCTGGCTGGTGCACGTTAATTTCCATACTGGACCTTCTGTCCGGCTTTTGGCAATTGCCTCTGCACGAGGCCTCCAAGCCCAAAACGGCCTTCCGTACGCCACAGGGCCTTTTTGAATTCAACTAGCTCCTAATGGGTCTCCACTCTGCTCCAGCGATATTACAGCATCTGATGGAACTGGTCCTCACTGGGCTTCAGTGGGACTCATGTCTGATATATTTGGACGATGTCATCATCTTTAGCCGCACATTTGAGGAACACCTAGATTGCTTGAGGGCTGTCTTTGTTAAAATGCGAAGGGCCAATCTCAAATTCAAGCCCCAAAAATGTCACCTTTTGCAGGAATCCGTGCGGTACCTCGGGCACATTGTCAGCCAATCAGGCATTGCCACTGACCCGGAGAAGACGGCTTGCATCAGGACGTTTTTGAATTTTATCGTCGGTTTGAGCGGGGTTTGCTTCCATCGCTAAGCTCCTCCACGCGCTGATGGCCAAGGGCCAAAAATTTCATTGGGAGGAGGAGGCTGCATTTGTTGTGCTTCGTGAGGCATTGGTCGATGCCCCTCCCCTACGCTACCCCAAATTTGCCGCGCCGTTCATCCTCAACATGGATGCCAGCAACACCGGCATTGGCGGGGTTTTGTCGCAGGTCGTGGACGGGGAAGAATGCGTCATTGCATATGGCATCAGAGTGCTGTCCCCGGCGGAGCAACACTACTGCGTTACGCGCCAAGAGCTGCTAGCCATCGTTTTTGTTGTGCAGCAATACTGGCCATATCTATATGGCAGACGGTTTACGGTGCGGTCTGATCACGCGGCGAGTTGACCAACCATACGGTGAACTTTCTCGCTGGCTCAAAGTCCTACAGGACTATTTGTTAACTGTCACCTACCAGAATGGTACCCAGCACTCGAACGCCGACGCTTTGTCGTGGTTACCACCGAGCGACGGGTGAGCATGCTTCTTGGGCTCGGGGCACTGTAAGCAGCCAGTAGACAGCTCACCCCCACTCCTCACGGCGTCGGCCGAAGTGGCTTCCTCAGGGGTGGGTTCCTCCAAGGGGGCTGACGAGCCTGTCGCATGGGATTCCGTTCTCGGCTTCGACCTCGCTGATTGGGGACGCCTCACAATGGAGGACGTTTCCCTTCTGAAGTTTCGCCGCCGCACTATGTGGCCCGATGAGGATAAGGGCCGTGGGGGATTCGCGTCTGTTATCTTGCGTGATGGCCTCTTGATAAAATGGGATGGCAGCGCGCGTCAATACAAGGGTGCTCCTGAGCGTCTATTGACTGACAAAGGGAAAATGTTTTCTTCCACCTTACTGCGTGAAGTATGCGACCATTTGGGTATGCAGAAAATCATACGTCGCCATACCACCCCTAGGTCAGCGAGTCACAACTTGATTGTGATTTGCAAATTCTCGGTGTTCTGGCCGCATATCGGATGGCCCCTCATGCGGCAACCGGCTGTTCGCCATTCTTTTTAATGTATGTCAGGGACGTCGACCCCCCAGTTGAAGTGCGGCTGCGGGTCACATCCAACAACTCCAAATCTAAGATCTCGGACCACATAAGTTTCAATATTCAAAAGCTGACGGAAGCACGGGAGGCGGCAAGGGAAAATTCTAATTTGTGCCAATTGGCCAATGAACGGCTGCGGGGCCTCCGTGCATCCGGACACGTCTGGGTTGCAAGTGACAGGGCCTGGCTCCACTGCCCGCAGATACCATTGGCCACGTCGCCCAAATTGCTGAGACCCTGGAGGAGTCCTGTCGACGTCGTTCGGGTCATCTGCCCGCAGTGCATTAAGGTTCAGTGGGGCCGGAGGTGCTGGTATGTTCACCCATCGCGCCTAAAACCCTTCATTTCCCCGCGCATTTTCACTCCATCTCCACAACGCAGGGGCCATGTGTGTGATGTGTCCGACGAGCCAGGTTGCGAGCCCGCGGGGATTAACCCTCAGCGGAGTTCTGTGAATCCCCAGGTGCCGCACGTGTGACGACTCCGCAATCCTTTATTGTACCGACGGGTGGTGACACACGACGTGGCTACCGCGGATTGTGGGTGTGCCGGGGGCGCGTGCGTCTGCGTGTGCGGTGTTATTGGTTTGCCCTACTCTGGTTGTTTTTTTTTTCTCTTTGCGCGGGTGTCCATTTGTATATAGTATCGGTGGGCTGGGGTACATGTTAAACTGGTATTGATAGTGGTAATGATAGATTTAGTGATAGGGGTTGGGGTAGGTGTAGTGATAGGGGTAGTGGTCATTAAACTGGTACTCTGCTACATGTTGTTATCTTGAGTAGCTGATGCCGCAATATGTTACATTATTTATTTAATTGTGTTTTGTGTAACTTCACGGCGTACAGATTGTACGTGTTATAGATTGCAAAGGTGCAACGATCAGAAGACTGATGGCAGGCTCATGTTGTGAGAAGTGCTGTTGAATACATTTTTAAGTCACCTTTATTCTTACTGAAAGCAGAGCAAAGAACAAAAACGATATAACAAATTTGTAAATTATAATAACAAAGATATTGGAAACTGACGTATCTATATACAGACAGTCCCCGGGTTATGGAAGGGTCAGGTTCCCGAGAACGATCCGTCACCCGAACTTTCCGTACATCGGAAACTGACCAATTTTCCCCCAAAGTCAAGATAAAATCCCATAGCTGGAAATAGTTGTTAATGACGAATGACTTAATTGCTAGAGGAGGAAGGAGAGGAGACGGGCATTACAATCATCGGGGTCAACATCAGACATACGTTGTTTTAAAGGCAGGGCTGCAGAGAGAGCTGCAGAGGGAGCTGGAGCCCTGCCTCTACGCCTCGCTCCGCGGTATTCATCCGCAACCTCACCGCGCTGCACTACTTGCACTTACGTAACTAACGCAAACATTGCAGCGCATTGATTTTTCCCCAACATGATTTATGGGAGCATTTCTGCCAGCGCGGACTTCCATAAGTCGGGTCTTCCACAACCCGGGAACTGTCTGTATCTATAAACACATTAAACCCCCCGGATCTTTGCACCTGATAGGCACACAGTGACGACATTACATTTACCCCCGTCTATTTAAGATCAAAACAGCAGGAGGATTTCTCCACAACTCTGGGCTGTTACCTGATGATGCTGCTGGTTGTTGTTGTAATTACTAGCGATATGTCACCAGGTACTCGAATTGTAAATGTTGTAGTGGGTTTAAACTCCAACACACACACACACACCGGTTAGTGCTGAACTAGTGACAGATTAACTACGTTTTGTTTACTTTACAAACCTTACTACTTGGCTTTGTTGGGTGGTGCTGGCGGCTTTAACGACACATTGATATTTACGCGATCTAACCCCCCCCAAAAAACCTTAATATTGCATCATAAAAAATGCTATCAGGGAATCCTCTAATTATGTGCTCTGCTTTATAAGACACAAATTGGGGGGTCTTAATTAATACAAACAATACAGTATCTTCAGGAAGATATGTTTTAATGGTATATTATTTTATTTTTCTACCGACGTGACTTTACCGAAAGAACCAAAGAATATGTTTAATGTAGTTGTTCAGAAAAATATTCCAGGAGATGGTCCTCCATAGCAATGCATTAGCAGCCAAAGGACAGAAAACACCATCACTGGCCATTAAGACATAATACATGTTCCAGACGGAATCTGTCCACATTTCAAAGCAGCACATTCATAATCATCATCTGGAAGATGTTTCTCCAAGACCCCCTCATCCTAAAAGCTCTCTTGTAGGATGAGTGAGTCTGCTCCCCTTTTCTTTATTACACGCTTACAATGCAGTGTAACGGTTTGAGGATTTTGCAACCATGAATGTGAAATTCCAAAGCAAGCCCGTACCCGTATTCACATTTGATTAAGCTCTGCTATATCCTCCACGTTATAAGACACTTGACAAAGTATACCCTAAATTCACAATGTCTTTAAATTTTGATAATATGGTATTAACAGATCACACACTTTCACTTTTGCTGAAAAAACTCCATCATTTTCTTCACGAAGTTACACTTTATGTTGGCTATGTTCTCGTCTGTGTGATTCTCGATCGCCTTCAGCTTCTCGTCAAACAACTCCGTCATGACCTGCGCAATCAGGAGAGCAATGCGGAGACGTAAACCACAAACAAACAACAACGGTCACTCATCATGACAGTGGCATTTCAAAGTGTAGTGCTCGTTTCGCCCCAATGTCTAGTACCATCCGAGTTAATCTTTGAGGTGTTACTGTAATCCAGTGGTTCTTAACCTGGGGTGCACGCATCCGCGGGGGGTGCGAGATGCCCTGCTGTAGTGTCATGCTCGGGGGTCATAGTGTTACCCCATGGTAGCAGCTGTCCCAGTGTGGCACAATGTGTGAACCCAGACTGAAAGTTGCCACTTGCCTACTAGTGGGAGATTATGTCGCTCGGTGGTAACCAGTAGTTTGTGAGTCACAGTACCAGCCCACATGGCCTGCTAGTGTGGTGTATTATTACACAACTTACAAAATTCATTTTTAAATATCCAAATTCAAAGTCCTAGACCGACAGATTCCCCAGGATAATAACCCTAACGAGAGAACAATCCTGAAAAACGCATGACAGGTGGTCGCCACAATGCAGGGTAATCCGTGTATAGATAACGTATTGATTTGACATGGTTTTAAATCGTTCTCAGGTGTTTCAGTTATTGTATTTTGTTTAACTGGGTAAAAGTCAAGAGACCAATAAAGTGATCAGTGCCCAATGTGACTAGAGCAATAGCATAAAAAAAGTACAGAAGAGCCCCTCTCAACAACCACCCCTTTTAACAACTAATCGCTTGTCGACAGGCTTCCATAGAGCCCGATGTGAAGTGTATAGTGTAGTGTATAGTAGTGTAGGACTTGAAATATCACGCGCCACGCGTTGTGTTGCTAGGCAAGCGAGCATAGTACAGTGGGAGCATCTAAGGACACGGTTGTTGTTGTCGTGGCATTAAGGGGGGGTCGTTAAGAGACGCGACAGGTGTTAGGGGTGACTGAGGACGCAGGCCGGTGATTGCTCAGGAGGGTGAGTGGCTAATGACCGGCGCCGGCCTGGCGGCAATAACATGGTCACGTGAGGCTGGGGGCCTGGGGGCGAGTAGCAAAGCGGGGGGTGAGATAATTGATTGGGACTGATTGGTGCGGGGATAAAGGGCACAGCGTAACGGAGAGACGGGAGCCTTGTTTGGTTTTGGAGTTGGAGTGGTTGGTGCCCGGGACAGAGACGGAGCAGCAGTGAGCAGGAATAGATATGATAAGGGTGGATAGAGAGAACACAGTGTACGGTAGCAGTGGATAGAGAGAACACGGTGTACGGTAGCAGTGGATAGAGAGAACACAGTGTACGGTAGCAGTGGATAGAGAGAACACAGTGTACGGTAGCAGTGGCTAGAGAGAATACAGTGTACGCTAGCAGTGGTAGCAGTGGATGGAGTGAGTACAGAGTAGGGTAGCAGCGGAGTAACGGACCTTGGGAGAGAATGAGAGTGAGCGAGCGAAGTCGCGGAGCGGAGCGAGCGAACGGGGAGACATGGAGTGTTGTTAATGGCGGGTTGGGCATCGGAGCGAATGGAGAGACACGGAGTGATGATGAGGAGGAGGTGTGAACTCTATGCGTGAATAAATGAGACAAGAAAGACGAGAGTACGAGTCCTACAGTAGTATAGTGTATAGTAGTGTATAGTATTGCAGTGCCTCTATAGAACCCAATGTATTCCCTTACTGACTATTCCCCTGTTAACGACAGGCTGACGTAGGTAGAGTAAGTATTCATAAATACATTCTTCTTTAATTATATGTTCATAATGTTTTTAGTATACTTATGTATTAATATCAATTGTTTAAAAATTAGAAAGTAATTATTTGGGGTGAAAAAGGGGGAATGTTCGATGCTATCAGAACGAATGATAGGGGACGTGTGTTTGCGATACTCGTTTACTGACCAAATCACTGAACGAACGGTTTCGTGGAACCAATTACCGTCGTTAAGAGGATGGGTTCTACTGCACATTAACGCAGCAAGTATAAATCATAGCAAAGACAACCAAATATAAACTAGAGTCAAAAAGAATGCTACTTACGGAAGAGACTGAACACGGTGTAAATATTCATATTAAAACAAATACATTTCCTTCAGCGACAATTGGCTCAGACAAATTACTTTTTTAAACCATTTATAGCTAAATTAAGTGACGAAATAATATTAATATATCAATAGTAAGTATCGCACTAGTATGTGAACAGAGGTGTATATTGTCTATACAATACTAGCTTTACTACCTGGCTTTGCCCGGGTCTTGGATTATTGTCTGAAAAACCCTGAAAAAAATGTAATGCTTGCAAGAAAGAAAAAATCGTAAACAAATCAACGTAACTAAATCTGATGTTTTTCACTCAAGGAAATTCAACCTTAACCCACTTATACGTAAGGTCGATTTTGGCAACTCGGGAAGGGAATGACGTGGGCGAGTTGAAAATAGTCGCGTTCACTTAGAAATTCCAGACAGCATCAGCTGTGCAAATTTCATGACGTGAGCTCAGCGTTCGAGAGTTTTTGCTGCTTCACACAAACAGATGCATTTTCTGCTTTATATTAAAGATAGCAGTTGTACCCGTTCTTCGCACGGATATGTATTCAAACTCCGAGAAGCCAATGGCTTCATCGGCCAGGAACGAAGCGCCACATAAAGTCTCCCGGCACGCTGTTAACAGCTCTAGAACTACGGCGTGCGAAGAGCCATATGGTAGGGGTAAGCATTGGTAGGGGAAAGCATTACAGACCGCTTAACTCAGGTGTGTTGCAGGTTGACGCCACATACTTCATGGTCATCCCCCCCCCCCCCAATATACATATTTTTATATTTTATACTTTTTACATTGTGTACAGTATGGAACGTACCCACATGCCAAATTTCAAGTTTGTAGCATGTTAGGAAGTATGCTAAACATTTCGAACAGACACACACACACATATCCACAAATGTCCCTTTTATATATATTGAAACCTTAACATTGGATGGTGATTTAAATGGAAGAGTAACCACGGGACATTTCGGAAAGAAATGGAATTTCAGGTTTTTGAGGCATCATTAACAAAAATAAATAATAACCGTGCAATTGTTTGTCCGAGCTACAATGCACTTTGGTGTTGTGGGATGTCTAAGACCTGTTCCTCCCTACATCCATGACCTTCAGCCATGTATATTCCATCGAGATCATTAAGATCCTCACATCGTGCATTGCTCACTGTCACCATGGTCTCCAGGCTTCATACTTGGGGGTGATGACAGCGACCCTGGTTCGATTCAGAACCACGGCTAAGATCAGTGGCGAGTGATATTTGAACCAGCGATCCTGCATGGGCCCCTTCTACTCCCTCCACCGACTAACATCATGTACTACTCTTCACACAACACAAATGCACGACACCCGCAAGTGCTATGGTTCTTCGAGTGTGGTCAGTTTTACATTTTTCATTGCTTTATTTTAAAATTCATGATTTGTATTTCCAGCGTGAGAAAAAAAGTTTGTTCAAGAATGGGAACATTTTGAGGCCGAAACGTATCTCAGCTTGCAACATGGGAGAGGATCAATGGGAAAACGGTGGTCATTTAACGAGTTTTCGCTTACCAAGCAATTTTCGCGGAACGCATCTTGCTCGTTATACGAGACGACACGTATGTAAACGTAATGGTAAGGACATTGCGGTGATCCTCACATTGTGCATTGCTCCTTGTTGCTACGGCCTCCAGACTTCACACTTTGGGAGTGATGACGGCGCCTTGGCAATTGCGGCACCTAAACTCTGGAACTGATTGCCCCTTCGAGGTCAGGGGACTTCCGGGACACTTCCAGATCTCCAAATCTCAACTTAAAAATATCTCTGTTTTTAAACTGTTTTTATCTCTCTTTAGTTATTCTCAAATGTCTTCCTCGGTTCTTCTTTCCTTGGTTGATGCTACATTTGTCTGCCTTTTCATGCATAGCGCCATGACATTGTAAGGACAATTGTAAGGACATTGGGGTGTGTGTGTGTGTGATATGGGTGGCATGGATTGACCATGCCAATTCTACAACTGCAAAGAAAGGAAAAACTGCGTGAACGGTGAGCACAAAGCACGGGAGAGGGAGAAAACTCGTGAGAGAGATAGTGAGAAGGGAGAAATACATCCACCAGGTTAATATCTGAGAGCCGGGGTCCCCTGAGAACGTGGCCTGAGATCTCCATTCAAACACGGGACATGCTGCTGCAGGGCTGAAGAACTGTACTCGCATTGGAGTCGGTCAATCCAAGCAGAAAAAGTTGAATAAGAAGTTGATGAAGAACTTGAAGAATTTAAGGAAGAAGTTGAGGTTGCTGACAGGGCTGAGTCGAGCCACTCCACTGCAAGTGCGTGGGCTGAATTAGCGACCAGGACTTCAGTCTCAGGGCCAGGACCAGCAAGGACTGATTACGGGCCGAGGGGCAAAGGCAAGGATCGGGTGCGGGGTGGAACGAGGTTGACCTGCATCCTGTGAGTCCTCCGTGGGCTCTATCTCGATGTCAACCAGTGACCTTAAACAAAACCGATACCCGCGACACTGTTATCGAATGCACGACACCATGTCGTTAGGTCATCAAGACGGCACAATGGGGGAGACAGTCTACACCTCACACCCACAGTACTCAGACGCCAGTTTAATTGGGATTACCTGGGTAGGTGGTTAATTGAGCGTGTTTGGATGGTACGCTGATAGTGATTGTGAGGTGGGTCGTTGATTGTACGCTATTGTGTTCTGTTAATAGGCGTTGCGTCGCAAGGTGGAGACTGCACACATGTTATGTAGTAACAAGTGCAGCAACTTTACCCTATACAACAGCACACACCACTTCCATTAAGTTCAGCCTCTCTGCTCTTAGAGTGTAATGCATTTGATTGGAGGTCGCTTAGCATGCGTAATTTTGAGTTCATAAATATCGCAGCCCACGCGTTATTCTTTTGGTGTTGCCCCTTCAGACGGCTGTAAAACCAGAACTGGTCACTTGATCCCTCAAGCCACCACCCTGACAGTCACAAAGTCCGTTGTGTGATACTTACAA